TGATTTGGAAGGCCAAAGAAAAACATTCTTTTTGGTATCACTTTTATGCTTATGTAGACTTTAGGTTCATACATCTGCATAATTCATGACTACATGGTTTCATTTTTGAAACAACATTTAAATGACAAAACGAAAGTAGCTGAAAATCCAGCTTACTTTAAAAAAAAGAAATTTCTTTTGACTTTTGTTTGCTTGTTTTGTTTTTCCCAGAGTCTCACTTTGTAGCCCCGCTGGCCAGTTCTTCTCAATTTTCCTATTCTTACACAGGGACATAGGTAATGAGACATACTCAAGATTCTAAATTTGTATTACTTGATGTAGCCCTACTTAACATTGACAATAATTGAGCTCCTGAATACTGGTGCATATTTCACATGTGCCTTAACAAATTATACTAAAAGGACTCAAAGCAAGGGGCCATGAAGACTGTTAAAAATAATCTAAAAGAAAATTGTTGTCAAGGTACAATAACCATCCAGTAATTGATAACTATTTAGTATACCTGGATCTCCCACTTCCCACCCGGGCCTTCTCACTGAGCTACACTCCCAGCTTTTTTGAGACGGGGGTTACTAGGTTGCCGAGGTTGGGCTTGACTTGTGATCCTCTTTGCCTTAGCCTCCCAGAGTGCTAGAATACAAAGGATGCACCACCATGCCTGGCCCAGAATCTGTACTCTTGACCACTGTGTTATACTGTCTTTTCTATGTTTTAAATCCCCTCCTTAAATCTACTGTCTGATGGGTTGGTCATTTACTAAGTGGCAGTCAAGTAAAATTAATAAAATGAATACATTGAAAAATCATAACCAATGAGTGCCATGAAGGGGAGTGTGGCAGAGCCATCTGGCTGTCACAAATGTTTCTCTTTTCTTCCTAAATATATAGTAAGACAATATGTTCTAGCCTTCCTTGCAGATAAGTGACTATGTTCTTGCTAATGGATTGTGGATAAGATATAATTAAAAGACAAAGAAAAACTTTGTAGCAGTGCAAATCCAGGAGCCAATGGACAAAGAAATTCCTTAGGAAGAACAATAAGCGAAGTACTTTCTCTATCCTTCATAAGCTACAGCTGCAAGAATTGTGATTAATTTTATTTCCTATCATTCCTGTTAAAAGGAGAAGGAGGAGGTGAAGGAATAGGAGGAGAAAGAGAAAGAGGAAGAGGAGGAGGTGGTATTTAATCCAGCAGGATTCCAGAATTGCTCTGGAAAAGTGACTGGTTTCATCTATTTATCCTTATTTTATTCTATTTGTCCTTTCTGAATAAACATTTATTGCATTTTTCTTTTCAGTTTTTTTCTTTAAATAAGCTGTTGTTGGTTTCACTAGTTAGGATACGTTGATAGCTTTTATAAAAATAAAAGTTACTAAAAGTCAGACTTATCATGAAGTTAAGGAAACTTAAACTCCAGCTCTCTTTGCTTGCCTGGGTCTCTTCCAAGTATGTCTCAGAAAGTGTGTCTTTTCACTACAATTTTCCCTTTGGCATATTTCCCTTTACATTAGTGGTTATTGGAGTAATTCAGGATATTTTGGGTATCTGGTTAGGGGAAATTTGAGTTAAGGATACATAATTTCAAGCTTAGTGAGTGTATTTACATGCATTATGATCACTTCCAGTTAATTAAATTATTGCTGGCTGTCTTTGTTTAGCAGTAAATTCCAGAAACACTCCCATGGTCCACTGCACCAACTCACCTAACATCCTGTCACAGTGGTACAGAGTTAGAGGTTATAACATAATACAAATGTGTGGCTGATAATGCAAGTATGTAAATAGTATGAAAGAAAGGATTGCAATGTATAGAACCAGAAGGTTGCCTAGAGGAAATCCTTTCAATCATCAGACATACACATTGTAAGTGGAGATCTGGTCTTTATTGATGTCAAGCCAAAACATATAATATTCTATCAGGCATATACTCAGTAACGCAGTATATATTCTTTTAAATGCATTGTACATTTTCTTTTCTTTTTTTAATGGGCATTATGTGAAATACAATTAATCAAAATGCCTGTCTGGATCTATAAACACCCTGTGCAATGATTGCAAAGTTGTGTTTTATGCATCACATTATCTTATGGATTAAACACTGATGATCAACTGAACACCAGCTGAATTAAATCAGCATGGTGCTGAGCATAGATGTTCCACCTGAGGAAAGTTGCCAGCATAAATAGAGATGTGGAGAAAGAGAAGCTAGGCAATGTGGGTTTCTCTAAGTGATGCTGTTTGAGCTCTTGGTTCCTAGAAGAACTCCTCACAACTAGCTTCCCTAGCGAGTTTGACCATTGTCATTGGAGGAGCTCGGGACCTTGTTGGTGAGAGTGGCTGTGGTTCACTTTAGGTGAGCTCTGGTCCTTACACTGAGCATCACTTCCTGGCTCCAGAGGGGAAGACCTGTGCCATTTAATCTCCAGGAGAAACTTGTCATGCTGGCTTCCTGGCATGTACTCAACTATTATCATCAGAGGAGTTTGGGACCTCCATGTCGCTGAGGATGGCTGTGGTGCTTTTCAGGACAGCCCTAGTCTTTATTATGAGCATGACTTCTTGGCTCCAGTGTAGAACCCTCAACCTACTAGCACAGCTTCTCTACCCCACTGGCATAGACTTTCTAGCTTCTACTGCCGACCTGTGGGCCTTCCCAGTGTGGATCTGTAAAACAGACTGGCGTGAGTCCTTCTCGTGGGCTCCAGACCTCCAGTTAGACTCACAAGAGGCATTGTTATGAGTTCTAGGTCTTCATCTGGATTCATGTAGGACATTGCTGTGGGATTCAGGCCCTTGGATGAATATTGTATGTTGTTAGTGTTGTAGATAGATTTCCTGCACTTTCTTGTGTTAACTCTGGGTGACCATCATAAAATATTATAAATTCTGTGTCTTGATTATAATTGGTCTCACAACCCCTGACTACAACATACAACTATCAATAATGAAAACAAAATTACCTACTTATTGTGCTAGAAGAAAAACTGAATTATCTTCCTGCCCTTTCAATTAATGTTTTATTTTTAAAAATGTCATATTTGCAATAGTGATCTCATAGGTTTGCTGTGACACTGAGATTGGATAAGACTAAGAACCATCTGGGTACAAAACCAGTTAAACTGTATCCCAATATATGCAATGAAGCTAAAAAAAGAAAATCATTATCATATGAAGAAACAAAGTAAAAAGTCTAGGAATAAAATATTAGAGTGAGTTGAGTAGTTAACTAAATTACATGTGTGGTCCTGTGACCTCCTGCATGCTAAGCGCATGCTTTTACACAGAGCTACACTTATAGCCTATATTTCTTCATTTAATCATGTTTATAGTACTCATAGGCTTCCTAAAGCATGTAACCTGTTATGATTCATTTTGAGTCCAGATAAAACTTTATTTAACCTAATTTTGTACTTGTAAATTTTTGTTTGTTTGTTTTGTTTTGTACCGGGGAATCGAATTCATGGCCTTGCATTTGCCAACCAGGCACTTATGCCGCTAAGCTAAACCCCCAGCCTGGATTTGTAAATTTTATATTAATGTTTTTCTTCAAAGGGCTCCACAAGTAATAAGATTTAGGCCCTACAAAATAGCAACTCCCTCCATATTATAAATCGACTTTATCTACGCATACAATGCAAGTTCTTAACTCTAGACTTATGACATAGAGCTGCATGCAGGCAGAGCAAACGTCAGAACTGAGACCTAAGATTAGGTGGTTAGGATGAATAGAAACTTACAGATAGAAACACATCTATTGCAAGGAAAACTTTGGGTACATCACTTAATTTTGAAGACAAGAGAAAGCTTAGAGGCCACTTAATTTCTAACCTGAATTCATCTTAGCTGCTTTATGATCAGTCTCCCCAGAAAAGTATTCAGAAGAAACACAGGTCTGATAGTCAAAAAAGAAATGTAAACATTTAGATTTTTAAGGATTTTTAAAAGAGGCGCCAAAGCAGTACAATGTTCTTATTAGTTAATTCTTCTGTGTCCTTCTCATCAAGACAGTCACAGCTTCGTATTTCCCTCTTGCTTCAGTCTGTCCCTGTCTACTGCAACACTCAAGGGTGGCTTAGTCTCCTTTAACTCAGCTCTTTGTTATTGATAATCGAGTTAGTCCTTGAGCACCTTACAGTTCTTTTTTTATAATTCTCTTAACTACTCTAATATCCATGACCAAGTCCCAGAGGAGACCTGACAATCCTTGAGAGGGTCTTTGAAAGGAAAGACAATAGGGTTAGGGGAGTGAAGAGAAATATGAAGGTCCAACATACTTTTATGCTTTGGTTATCCAGCCCTCAAATTTGCAAATTCAAAGAGTGAGGCCAAATGAGCGACTTGACACTCACCTAGCCAGTCATATGAACTTGGACCTAGAATTCAGGCTTACTTCCTTTGAAATAACCTTTGTTATAATTCCCTGGCAGGTAATCTTTGATCTGTCATATCCAAATCGCTTTGCACCTCAAGTGGAAAGAATACCAGAGGGAGTAAGGAAGCCTAGGTTCAAGCTCTACTTCCATCAGGCTCCATGACCTTGGACACAGTCATGTTCTTTCTAAGGCTGTGTCCCTTCCTCATAATAAGAGGTTGGTTTTGTCCAGCACTAAAATTCCCTGGGATCTGGGTTGTCACAGTGCTGGCCTCGAGTTGGTTAACAAGCCTTGCCCTAATTTATACCTCACCCCTGCTGAAAAACATTTTCTCCTTTGACCCGTCGTCCTTGTAGGACATACAAGATTGCAATGGTCAGCGTGGGCTCCCCAGGGGAGAGACTATCCCGATGCATCCGGGTATCCCAGGCCGGAGACCACCCCTGACCCCTACCCACTTCGATCGGCTGCAAGGCCGAGGATCCAGGCCCTTACAAGGCCCACTGCACAAGGGAAGAGATCACCCTAACGCGGATAAAGCGGACGCGAAGACCGAGCGAGGGAAGGGGCGGAACCGGAAAGACCCCGCCTCCGTGCCGTCACATGGGGGCGGAGTCGGAAGCGTGACGGCGTGCGCGGGGGGCGGAGCTACCGCTGCGCGCGGGCGCGGGGGCGGGGCGCGGCGCTCGCGGCTGCTGCTGCCTAGGAGGGAGGCCGGGCAGGCGGCGGAGCGGCGAGGCTCTGCGCCTCGAGTGGCCCGGGCTCCTGCGGCTGACTGACCCGGCGTGGCCGGACGGACGAACGGGCAAGCCGCGGAAGCGAAGGCTGGGAGCCGCGCCGGGCGACGTAGAGAGAGAACAGGTCAGGCTCAGCGGCGGCCACTCTGTGCGCTGAATGAAGTGCCCGCCCCGCTGAGCCCCGAGCCCGGCGCTTTCCCCGCAAGATGGACGGTTTCGCCGGCAGCCTCGGTGAGTGTGGTCGGGCGTCCAGCCGGTCCTGCGCGAGCTGGGGATCTTGTTCCCTCTACGCGCGGCGCAGGCCCTGCTCTCCACCCTGCCCCTCGGGGCGCAGCAGTTCCTCTGCACATGGTCCCCTCGAGGCTGCCGCCCCGCCGCCGACTCCCGGAGGGGGCCGAACCCCTCCCCCATGCGCAGCCCTCCTCGGAGCCAGACCCTCCTTTTTCCCAGAGCCCCCTACTAGCGGGGGCCCTCCTTCCTCAAGAGTGGGGGGTCCACTGTGAGAGACCCCTACTAGCTGATACAGCCTCTTTATATCGCTCACGCTCCCACCCCATTCCCTGCAGGGTTGGGATACCCCTTACTCAAATCTATTCTGTTCAGGGTATAACATTCTTCCTTTCCACATACCGACCTTTCTCTCAGGGTGGGAACAACCCTTCCCCACACGAGCTCCCTTTTAGAATAGACCCCCCCCCCTACTTCTAAAAGGGGGCACCCCCCCGACCTTCACTTTAAATTTGGAGACTTTTAAGTATATTCCTCAGTAACTGACAACTTCCCTTCACTATCTCTACTTTGAACATTTTGTGCGAAGAGAACCAGAGCACTTGAGACATCATTTGCTTAGTACAGGAAAGGAAGAGGTGCATCCGTGTTGGGGGACCCTCTTTAAGAGCGAAAGCAGAAGTGTTTTCTGGCTCAGCGTGCATGCTGGGGAGAGGTAATCCTGCTCAAAGAATCCATAGGAAAGGGGGCCTCAGTCGGGAAAGAAAGGATTCTCCATTTTTGGAATATGTTGTCTTTGTGGAATGGAGAAAGGGAAGAGGTGATTAAGTAGGCTGAAGTATCTTTTCAGTGTTCCCTTTCACCTAAATAAAGGTAGTAAAATTTGTAATTGGCGAGGGGAATCAGAACTGCAGTCTGATACTCGGTGCCCTGTAACCTATGTATGGAATTACTATTCTTTGAGTTCATTGGAATCTGGTTACTGTAAAGATTGAGCTCAACTCTTTTAATGGTGAGAGAAACAGTTTCTGCTTTGGCTGACTCTGCAGTTAGTGATAACTGCTGTTGGGTTGATATTTTGAGAATTTTATGTGGAAGCAGCTTGTATTCAGATGCCTTTCTTTTGCATTTCTTGATAATAAATCCTTAGCTGGTTAATGTTCACAGATCAGTGAGTGATCTGGACCTAGGCCATGCTTTAATCTAGCCACACAAGGCTGGGATTAGATGGACTTTTAAAGTCTAAAGTGAAAAAGTAAGAAGAGCAACGGGCTCATTATAGTTATTAAATAAACCTGTAATTTTGGTCCTGCCTTTCTTGGGAAGGAAAAAAACTCATTGTTAGTAGATTGGTTTCAGAGTGGAAATCCCAAAATAGGCAGCAACTGAGTGTTACTCCGTTCCTCCCCAAGGACACCTGTTGTCCATTATCTAACCTTTGATATCTTACAGTTACTTACATAGTGAAGTTGTTTCATTCATAAACTCCTTTTAGAAAGACATTTTTTCACTGGTTCCTTTTCAGCCTCATATTTGGCTTTATTTACTAGTTCATGTACTCGTGGACTGAAGTACTTGTCCTATATATGCGCTTAAAATCGTTAGTGGGTGTGATCATCTACTAGGGCAGAAATTGGGAGTCTTTCGGGGGATGTTTGGAGGTTGTGATAATATCTGCATAGTGTTGGGTCTGTAGGAATGATAAGATTGAGATATCTGTATCTCTCTTTTGAGATATGGGAATTGTGGAGGGCTTGTAGAAGCTACATTTTCAGTGAGTGTTTTGAAAGTCTTATCAATTGGAGCATTTAAGTTCATTTTGAAACAATGTGCAATATATGCCCTGTTAAATAACATTATATCTTTTTAGCCAATCTAAAAGAAACTAAAAGATGAAAATAAATGGGAGTGGGAAACTCCCTCTGGGGCAGTGGAAAATAAACGGCAGTGGGAAAATAAATCCCATTTTTACAGAACATTATAGCTGACGGTAATTTTGGATTTTTATTTTTTATTTTTAACTCATTTGATGCTATCTTTTGGGTGGTATGCAGTGAAACTTTCCTGTAGGTAATGGTGTTGATCAGGAACTGGAGAGATAACGCCTGTCTCTATAGAGCGAAACCTGTGTCAGCAGAGAGGGAAGGAAATGGTTCCTGGCAGTATTTGTAGAGCTGCTGCTGATGAAGATTCTTCTCAGCAAGAGCTCTGCTTTCTCTTTCTGTCCCTCTTTAAGAGTAAAACTAGGCCCCATCTTAATTGAAACCTTAAAGAGTTGGGAGTGGGGGAGGGATAGTGCTGGTATATTTTACTGGTAGCCTTTAAGCAGAGTTCTGTACTCACTTAGCTCTTGCCAAATTGTGTGTTTCTGTTCTCAGTTCATTAGCCTGGAGCTTAGGATTACATTGATCTTTATTTTATCATCAAGAGAGCCATTAATATAAAGGCAAGCACTTGTACTCTAGTAGATGTTTAAACTTTTTTTTTAACCAAAGAATTCGAAACATTTGAAGTTCTTATGGAGTAACAAATATTGAAAGCCTTTATTTATTCTCAAGGAAGTATGTGTGTACATCTCCTTTGAAATGCTAAAGGGGTGCTTGAAAAATTATCAGAGAAGTGCATCTTTTAATACACAGAAAAGTTGAGTACTTTGTATACAAATTTAGAGAAGCTGATCATTTAAGAGTCCACTGGTGAATCATTTTATAGAGAAGAAAAACTCTTAAAATTCAAACTGTGCACTCAGTTAATGATTGTTTAGATCTAGTAAACACTATTGTGTGCATTTTGTACAATATCTGATGGCAAGACTGTGTAGTGGGTTTGGAAATCATAAAGAGGAATGTTAGGTGACTGGCCATTTTATAAATGCCGTGCTGAATTTAGTATATTTTTGTATTACCTTTGTTCTACATAAAAGCAACTAAAAGATGCTTTTAATCTCTGCAGCTGATGAATTTCAGGCAACTTGACTGGCAAGTGCTTGTACTCTGGGATTTCCCTTAGATACATTGTTTTTTAGTACATGAATTACGGTAGTTTAAAAAGGCAGTATTTTGCCAACATTTTTTGGGGGGAACTTACTGCAAATTATTTTTATGTGTTGCTTTCAAATCATAGTACACAAAGACACACACTCATATCTACACAGTATGTGTTTTGTTTATTTTGTTTTTTCTGAGACAGGGTTCCTATATGTATCGACCCCCCTTCCCGCTCGACCTCAGACTTGTGGCAGTCCTCCTCCCCCAGCCTTCCAAGACCTGGGATTACAGGTGTGCACCACCATGCCCAGCTATACAGTATATACTTTAAATTCCAGGTCTGTGCGCAAAGGAACTATCAGTACAGTTTATTGATTTTCATATTTGGGTATATTTCATGCTTAGTCTTTTTAACATCTCTTTTTCATAACAAAAGGTTAGTTTTAAGACTTTTATGTTGAAATTAGCCTAGTAGTTAAGTCAGTGTTTGCATTTTAAAGAAAACATACACTTAACCATGTCAGCTTAAACTTTTTCTGCCTCAAAAGTTAAAGTTCAAAATCTTGTTTTTTTAAAGAAAAAAATGTAATAAATGAAACTGCAGGGATACTATTCATAAGAAACATATTGGGTGTAAGGTATAAATAACAAATCATAGCAGTATGTCAACTTACAAAATATTTTAAGAAAGCAATCTTTTAAATATCACAATATTAGAACTATAATTTCTCATCACATATTCTTCAAAGGACAATACTATATATATATGTGATTTTTATTTTTTATGGCCTAGTTTTCGAGACAGTGTCTCACTGTGTTACTTAGGCTGTCCTAGAACTCTTGGGCTTGGGCTCAGGCCAAGCTCCTGCCTCAGGTTCTCCAGTTACTGGGATTACTAGCATGAACCACTGTGTCTGACTGATTTTTCTTTAAATGTTTATTCACATGAAATATGTTTCCTGTCATCATTTGGTGAGGCAACTTTTAATTTCTTCCTGATTGTCTAAAAGGGCTCAAGATACTTTTAGATTATAAACATAATGCAAACTCTTTAAATGTTACTGTAGTAGCTATGAGTTTGCTAGAATATTTATCAATATGTATGTGGATTAACATTTCATGCGGCCCAGCACTGTGCTTAGTTGACCTAAAGAGGGTACTTTTTGCCCTTTAGGGGCTGCTGGCTGATTTTCAGTAGTTATCTACAGATGTGTATTATTAAGCATCAGTAGCAGAATGAAGACCAAGGGAAGGAGCATTAGCCGGAGTTCTGTGCTATGTATTAAGCAGTTTCTGAGAAAAAACATTTGGAGATTGCTAGATTTATTTCTGCAGCCTAGCATTTGTATTTGGCAGTCCAGGCTCGGGAATATTAGTGGGTCTCTTTCTGTTTTAACATTTAAGTTTGAGTAATATTTAGAAAAAGTACTGTCTTGTAGGTGTGAAAGTCCATTTCTGTAACATGTAAAACTTCAGTGGTTCATAAGAAATTTGAGAAAAATATTTTGATTTTAAAGTAAATGTATCTTAGCTGATTGTGGTGGTAATCTCATATACCTGTAATCCCAGCATTTGAGAAATTGGGGGAGGATTACTGTGAGGATTCAAGGCCAGCCTGAGCTACATAGGGATTTCAAGGCCAGCCTGAATTACAAAGCAGGAGACCTCATCACAAACAAACAAACAAAAACAACAACAAAAATCTATTCTAAGACTTTGTTTTTTTTTTTTTTTAAGTCTTTTTCCTTTTGCTTTTTATTGGTAACGGGGATCGAACTCACGACTGCCTGCTTGCAAGGCAGGCGCTTATGCTGCTGAGCTAAATCCCCAGCCCCTTATTCTAAGACTTTTTTAAGGAAATAGTTTCCTTTAGCAACTATTATTGTGGAGGAGTTGCAAATCCGTTATGTGTTTCTGTGTGTAAATTATTTCTTGTTCTATAAATCCAGCTGCCTTTGACTATTAAAATACTTTTAATTTTACATATTGCCTTGTAGTTTAGAAAAAGCTTTTATT